TGGGATAGACTCCAGCCCCCCACGACCCTAATGAGGATTAAGCGGTGTATAGATAATGGATGGATGGATGGACATTTTTCCCTCATCTAATTTTTGTTGTTGTTGTTGTTGTTGTTGTTGTTTCAGGAGAGTGCACTCAGCAAAGTACCCTTCCACCATCCCAGCAGTGATGACCTTCTGACTACATTATTGCACCAACACTGGCTGACTTTTCTATCTGTTGTGTACTGCACCTGGGAGGTTCTTAGAGACAGGATGCTTTTAAAACTTGTATTTTCCAACATGAGGATAATATAGCCCTCACCATCTTCAGTGGCTTAATAAGTGAAGTGTTGCTTCTTACCTTTCCCCGTTTCCTTTTGTCTTTAGAGGACATTTCTGGGGTGTTCTGGATGTTACAAAGACAGTAATAAGCTCAAATAAAGAAGAGTTGCATTTGTTTTCCATTATGGTGTTTTTTTTGTTATTTTATCTCGAGCCGACATCTTAGCAAAAGCGAACATTATAGTCACTGAATCTCTTTGAATTGCTGCATCGATAAGGTAATAGTTTGTTATCTGGTCATAACTGAAGAAAAAGTAGGCTGACACCAATTAACAACTGCAGGTAAACACTAACTAACTCGCCGAGCTAAACAGAGTCGCAATAATCCCTGTTTCTGGAGCCTCTGACTCTGGTGAATTCACATGAGCTTACGTGGTCAAGCTGTCCTTAAATCCTACATTTAAACATGTTCATTTAAATATTAATTTATTCATCTATCTCAGTCGTTCAAATAGACATGAAGAGAAGATGAACAGGATGTGTTTGGTTCCCTGCACCCATTAGATGTTCCAGAGACATACACTAATCAGAAAGGTGATGGCTTGATTGCCGGGCCCCTCCAGATGTTGAAATGTCGTGGACAAGATGCTGAACCCAAAGCTGGGTCCAATGGCAGGCTGGAGCCTTGCATGACAGCTCTGCTGCTGCCATTGATATTTAAGTGTTATGACAGCTGGCTGGGTTCAATGTATTCTCTCTACATGGAAAAATGTGGTTAAAGAATACAACCTGAAAAAAGATATTGTAATGTTAAAAATAATTCTGTTCCATTTGTATTGTTTTATTGGTCTGCAATGCACTCATTTGTTTTTTACAATGTTTTATCCTTCATACTTGGATCTCTTTCTTGGGTTAACAGACAGTCTCTGACATATATCCAGTGTAAGAAATGTATAGAAATTAACCGGTACTCTGAATGAATAAGATTTGGTTTTTGTCATTCTTTAGAAGTTATGTATCCTGTTCAATAGGACTGTAGAGTGAATGTACATGTTGTTCTGAGCGTCTGTGCTGAGCTACATAACTGATCTTAAAAATCTCAAAATGGGTAAGGCAGGGTTGGGCCTGCTTGGAACTTGAATGGGTGACACCCCAGAAAAAAAAGCTGTTTGCTTTTTTACTTCACCACACATGACTGATAATGAGCACATAATCGTTACACATGTGCTTCAGTTTTGAATTACAATGAAAAGTGAAAATACAGAAAATCTGAGCTAGAAAAAGACAGTTTCTCTTTACGCTGTTCCACTCAGAAGATAATATCATGAATGAACTGGCAATAAACAGGACATGTTCACTGTTGAGAAAAAAAAAACTACAGTTTTTTATTAACTTGTAACCAAAATATTCCATATCACACCTTCAAAAACAATAAACAGCACTTAAAAGGCTTCACATTTAAATACACATTCAACCCGATGTTATGGTTCTGATGCAACTAGCAAACACAGAGCTCAACTTTGATTTTTTCACCAGTTCATTGTCATCCATTGTAGAAAACGTCTCCTCATCCACAGCCTCTATCTTCTCTTGGTTCCCCCAAAACCTGAAACCAAACAAACAGAGATGTTAGGCCTAAGTAACTGTAGCAGTATCTACGACATGTCTCTGGATGCTAACCATGTGTGAGCTACTGGATACCTTCATCTCCCAGATGAGATGAAGGAAGTTTGCAAACGATTGGCGTTGGAAGCAGCAAGCAAAGTCCAATCCCAACTGCCACACAATAGTCAGAACTTGAGAGCACAAGTTGCTGCAAGATGCTCAGAATAAAACACATGAGCTGTGGCTAGAGGACATTAAGTTCCTTCCCATCATTTAAGTTCCTTTTTTTTTTAGATATTGCTCTTTATCGTGAATAAGGGCTCTGTCTCATCACGTAAGAAACTATGGTTATATTATTTGTGCTAAAAATGCTTCATATTCAGGTCAATCACATAACTAACATATATTAACAAGGCTCTTTGTGCATAACTTACAGTGTCAGGACAACAATTCAGCCACAACAACAAGCACTGGATAGATGTCAACAATGAAGCAAGTAGGCTCGTGATGCAGGGGTCAATATTTAATACCCTAATCCACATGTATGCCTTATCCAACAACCAGGTCCCAACTTGACCCACAACCTCCACTGCAGGACACTTAACCCAAACTGTGACATTTGACATACATGTCCACAGTATATCCAATAGAGGGAAGTGTGCTGGGAGGACCAATTATATTTTAGTGGCTGTCAATGTGTAAATGCCTGTGAAACAGCTTTTATGCAACAGCAGATGCTCCATGGGAGTCTTTTGCTCTTTCAGACAGAATAACCTTAATTGTATGCACTTTCATGGTAAAGCAAAACTCGTTTCAGCCAACAAACCTCTGTGGTCTCACAGGGTATACTGTTGTATCGCCCAACTGTAAAAGTCATAGTAACAATCATCACGTCTCATCCTGGCCATCTCAGGTTTCCTTCAGACAAACTAATAGAGGGCAAAATGCCAACCAGATAATAAACATCCATTTCAATCCTTTCATGAACATATAGTCAGTTTGGTTGTATAACATATCAGTGGTGGTAGAGAAGGCTGATATGTACCAACTGACAGTCTGTATGTGGCTCTGCTAGCTAACAGGGAGTCCTGCTACCTGAAGCAGTGCGTGTCCCAGAGGAGGAGGGCTCCCCAGCACGAGGACGTCGGCTGTCAGTAAAACTGGAGTGGTTATAGTTGTAGGGCTGGTTTCTGCAAAACAAACACAATGCAAGTAACTTTAAGAATCAGAGTAAAACATAAGTGGAACGGTGTTAAAATAAAGTCCTGATTTTCCAATCTTCTTTCTGCCTACACTGCTTTACTAACCTCTGGCGACCAAAGAGATATCCCAGCATCCCTCCTGTTCCAAGACCAGTCCAGAAGCCCCCACCAGTGCTAGGAGCAGCCCGGTATCCTGGATACTGTTGTCTGTGAGTGTAGTCACTGCGGAAACCGTAGCCTGGGTTGGCACCAGGATAGTCTAAACACAAAACAAGACTAGACTCAAGATCTGGGTGAGGTAACTGATATCTTATTTTATAGATAATGGGTGGATGGATAGTCTTTGAGGAAGAATGTGCAGAACACGATTGCTTTATATTACTCTATTCAAACGGCACCATTCTGCATCAGTTACCTGTGAAGTCAGGTTTGAATCCGGGGGGTGGTGGTCCTGACGTAGGGCCATGATGTCCATCTCTGGTATACTCTGCCTGATGACCATCTTGTCCCGACCTCCCCGTGTTTTCACTGAGGAACAGTTTGTAGACGCCAAAAGCTAAGAGCAGAAGCACTGCAACAACAAGGAGGCCTCCTGAGTCCTGGCTACCTGAGTGGTCTGAGCTCTGATGCTGATGCTGATGCTGATGCTGATGCCCGTTTCCTGAGAAACCACTAAAGAAACGGGAGGCAAATCCACCAAGACCTGAGACAGAAGAAAAGAAAAAGAAATTTTGGGGGAAATTGTGGTGGGATTGCTGCTACTATTATCCTTTGTCCTTTGCACGTTACACTATATATAATTGTGTTTGTGACCAATAAAGGCCTTGAATCTTTGAATCCCTGAATCCTAGCATGTTAATCCCAGTGCCAGAACTGTGTGAACATAAAGAAACTTCTCATCCATTATCAGTCCTTATTATCATCTCCATCCTCCTACCTCCAAATCCTTTGAATTCACTGTTGGAACCCCAGCTGCCTTGAGTCCTCCTCTTAGCCTCTGCGGTCAGTTCCAGCGTGTACTCGAGCCCACAGGAGCCTTTTAGTATGTAGGCATCAGCAGGGTGGTTGTAGCCCTCACAGCTCACCTCAACGTGACCAAACCGGTACATGTTGTCCATATCGGTCTTGCACTCCCACTGTGATGGGAAGTAAAATGACCTTATTCAAATATATCAAGCATGATGTCGACTATGTCACTATTTGGCACTGTATACATAAAATTGACCTGAACTGAACAATTTGATTTATTAACAAAATAACTGCACATAACCCAATCGTTGCAGTCCTACTAATGCTCCATACACCTCATATCTCTGTCCCTGCAGTCCACGAGCACCTCCTTTCTCACCTGTACATCCACCCCATCCCAGCCTTTGTTCAGACACTGTACCACCTCTGGGATAAAGGCCTGGCAACCTGCTGAGCCTCCGACACACTTCAGCTGAGGAATTGGGCTGGAACGCCTCGCTGTAGTGTAGCGATTTTTGTACAGAGTCAGTGCTTGGATGTCCCGCAGCAGCACACTACCTGTGATGGGGAGAGAAGAAAAATATTGTTTTCCATCATAAAAAATATGGATCAGTGCCATTTTGGTTATGTGGACTTGTGACCATTGTGTGTGGAGATGGCCTGTGTAGGCCCAGTTGTGGCTGGCTGAGAGCTCGCTCCAGAACACCAGCTGCTAGTCATCTCAGCTAATTAGCCTGGACCGTGTCCGAAATCACTCCCTAGACCCTACATAGTGCACTATATCGGGTGTTCACCATTTTGGAGTGCTGTCTGAATGTCAAGCTACACATCACACCCCACATAGAGCACACAAAAAATACCACACAGTACACACCAGAGGCACAAAAAACAAAAATAGACAACAACACACAGCACAAAAAAAAAAACAAAAAAGAGAAAAAAAAGAGCAAAAAAACGTCACAAAAAAATAAAAAAAATCCCCCAAATATGCTTGGTAAAATTTAATTTAACCCGTTCCTAAAAGGGATAAAAGAAGGGGCCGCCCCCAAAAAACAAACCGCCCCCTCAAGAAAAAACGAAAAGGAAAAGTTCCAAGGGCCCAAAAAGTCAACAAGAACCCGAAAAATGGCAAGGAACCCCCAAAACCCCCCCAAAAAACGGTTGAAACGCCGCCAACAAGCAAAAGGTTCCCGAAAAATAAAAGAAAAAACCCCAAGACGAACCAACAGCTTCATTCCACAAGCTGTCAGAATGCTGAACCGCTGATCTGGATATGCAAACACTTCTTTATTTAATTGCTTTTAGTTTTTGGATGCTGAAGAAACGCTCTCTCATCTTGTTTGTACTACTGTACAGCATGTACTCTTGGTAGATGTCAGATGCTATAGCTCTCTAAAGAAGAAAGGCCTAACCAGGGACAAATTAGACTTTGCTACAAATCCTGTATGCATCACATCTATATCCTGGTATTGTAACCATTGTAGAAAATATATAGTAGGTTTAACAGTTTCCAAAATATTAATTAGCAAACTTATCTAAAATAATCCCACTATATACTGCTGACAGTACGGTTCTAACACGTTTCACTTCTATTTTGACAGCTTAACATTACTTTCGGTTCACTCATTCTACTTGTGTGTGTGTGTGTTTTTAACTTGTAAATGTGGTAAATTTGAAATATAGACATTAGACTAAATGAAAATTTTCTTGACTTTGCTCATCTTAATTTTCAATATTAATGGGCAGTTTTTTTTTTTTTGTTTTTTTTTTTTTAAGTGAGTCTACGTTCCCGTTTTTGGTGATAGTTGGAAAAATGAATCATACTTTAATAACCAGACCAACAGCTCCATTCTCTAAAGTGCTAAGTCTGATGACAAGAACGTTCTCTGACATGTCACGTTTAATTTGACGATATCACGTCACTTCCGGTCTATCCCCTGTGTTTTTCACTTGACAAAAGTTCTGTGGAAAAATGAAAAAAGTTTTTGTTTGAAACGGGCACGGAAAGACAAAACATGTGACCACGCAAAAACCAAACATGAGTTGTGTTTTTCTACTTTGATACTTTTGATTCTCAACGTTCACGGAAACCGGAAGACGGAAAAGCGGAATGTTTTGTCGTCTTTGAAACGAGTTTGACAAACTGACAAGGCTGTGAGCAAAATCCGCGCTGCTTCGTCGTCGGGATGCTTTGCAACATTTCCTAAACAACGGTCATCACATTTAAAAGACATTAAAAAAGAGCCAACGGAAACCAAACCTACCGTCATCCCAGCTCCTGGTGTGTCCCAGCAGACACAGCTGCAACACAGCCGTAATAAACACTTTCATCTCCCTGCTCTGTGCTCCTGGTAGAAGCTCGGCACCAGTTCTGTCTGCGAACAATCAGCTCAAGTTCTTCGCAGAATAAAGGTGTCTTACTTGCGTTATTACCCGACACAAAATCTGACTTCCGGGTGCGTCATCTGTTTTGCTGTCACTGACCAATGGAGAACGGGCACGCCTGCAGTGTACAACGAGGTCGCGTGAAATCCTGGAGTCTGGCCAGCAGGCGGCAGCAGAGACACACTGCTGCACTGAGTTCATTAAGCAGTTTTAGGTATGATAGATGGCCGCAATTCAGGTTGTCCTAGGGTTGCATCACTTTTATCAACCACGTGTACCGCGTTTCTCATTTCACACACAATTCAACTGCAGGTCTCCACACTGTGAATAACAGAAACCTGAATTAGAACTTGAATTTTTTGGAGTTTCACAAATCTACAGTTTGCTTCTGGTTTGTTTTATTTCTAGTTTAAAATATGTTTAATTCTCTTGAAGATAACTGCTCGTTTTATATGTTTTAAATCAAGTTTGAACGAGTCACAATGGCTGTAGATATTCTCACCTAGAATCACAACAAGTTGATGCTGTAAGTATCTACAAACAGGCAGCTGTGCATTTCTTTTGGGTGTCATGAGTTACCGGTGAAGATTGCTGCTTTAGGAAAAATACCTTTGGCGCAGGAGGAAGTGCACTGCATTCACTCGTAATGGGTTGGTGCTCCTTTTCCCCCTTAAATGACTTAAATGGGTTTCCAGAGGTTCCTGGTGAATGATTGGTGGTGGCAGCATAACATCTTGAAGCTCTCGTGGAGCATGTGTACCAAATTGCTGAGTTTCTGTATTGTCTTTGGTGTGTTCTATTGGACCTTCAGCAGCTATGTCCTGTAACTCCCCTAAATCAAAAGCTCGAATGATGGCATTTCCACATCACACATACCTTGACATTGAGAATATTTTGGCAATTTTGTTTTTCCACAACAACAAAACGCCCTTCCCTTGCACCTCACATTTAGATACAGCAAGTGTTTGGTCATTGTTTTGAGATTTGGGTGTTCAATCCCATAGTCATATTAACAGAGAGCACAACAAAGTAGTCGTAAAAATCTGGTCTTTTATTCCCTCAGTCACCCAATGTTCAAATCATATTAATAAATCTCTGGTATAAGTTAGATATTTACATCATTCAAGGGCCTTCAGAAAATGCCACATGATCATCTTTAGAAATGAGTCTATTTACATTGTACAAAACATTGCATACATTATGATCAATACACCAAACCTTCTTTCCCTTGTAAAAACAAACAAAACAGCAGTCTCATTTTCATTGTTTCATTTGTTGTCTTCCCCACCATAGGTTATCTATTTGTCATAGGCATTCTTTCCCCAACCCAACAACTCAGGGGTTTTTTTCCCCTCATTTTCAGACAGAGTGTTATTCACAGTCACAGTAAACTGGTCAGCGACTGAAATACTCAAGTCTGTGACAGGGCAGGCAGTCCAACAGTCCTCTGAAGCATCTCAGTGTCTGAAGAAGTTTCTGAAAATGAATGGAAAAAGGCGAATGGAAACGAAGTGTATAAGTTACTTTGACCTGCGCTGTTGTGCATTGGAAGGCACATTGTAGTAAGGATGCTTTCGGACATGGCCTGGTCAGGCTTTTGATACCATGTGATCAATTCAATTCTCACTTTCAGATTACTGTATTGGCTTCAAGCTAGAGGTGGCTCTTTATACGGGGGTGCTTTTAACAGACTCCTGAGTACAAAGAAAGAACAAATACAATTTAATCTTTCAGTGTCCTTTTCAGCCTGTTCAACACGTGTCCACAGGACCAACATACCGTCTATCTGTTGTCTTCTTTGGCCTCAGAGGAAGGTTGATGTATATCACTGAAATTATGATACGGGTCTATTGGCTCTTTATAAAAACAGAAAGAACAAGAATGCCTATGGTTGTTATTTTTGTTTGTGAACATTACCATGGTATCACTAAACCAGCACTTCCAAAGATTCCCCATTTTCACACATGTGGATCTCCTCGCCTTTTTCTAGTCAGTTCTCAATTTTTAAACACATCTGCTTCACCTGAGTGTTCTTCATCTGATAGCCAATAAAAAAAAACAATAACATCTGTAATCCAGCCTGAAAGTCACTTAAACCTGACTCGCAGACAGAAGCCTTCCACCAGCCAGTGTATGTACAACCACTCCAACCTGCTTAGACACAATGATGATGCAATTGAACCCTCCATCAAGAAAAAGGACTCTTTGGTAGGTGAGCTAATCAGTTGATTGAAAAGACCTAATAAGAGCATTACTACCTAATAGTTAGAATCGATGTAGTAAATTCATAAATTCATGTAGTGGTTTAGAAAAGACCTGAGAGCCCAAAAAAAAAAAAAAAAAAAAAAAACAGATAGAAAGATATCTTGTAAACAAAACCAGCATAGAGAACAGAGACAAAGCCCACCATGTTTCCAGTTTAGTGTTGATCCAGCAGGCCACTCTGAGGACCAGGACCTTCAGCCTCTACATGAACCTGTTCTTCTACCATCTGGAGTGTCTAAGTGTCTGCAGGATCTAGGACTATATTGACCCGAATTTGAAAAAGGCATGTTTTGGCTGATTACAATGATTAAACTACCCCGTTGTGTTGGAGGTGCACTGACCCTGGCTCATTTCAAAACTTTTTTTTTTTTCTGTAAACTTAGAGCATGGATGCATTTCTTGGTGCATGTGAATCCGGCTGTGCGCCCGCCATCACACAGCCACGATGTTGTTCATTTCCCATCTTTGAGTGGTTTTACTGTTGTCACAGTCTGATATGAAGACTTTGTGAAGCAGGTCAGAGCGGTCCAGACATTTTCCTGTAAGGAGAACACAGATGTTTGTTACAGGGATCCAAATGAATAGAATCTTTAACTAGTAAGCGATTTGTGCCGTGTAACTTCATGGTAGGCTGTGTCAAATGTAGATGTCAGCGTGCAGTGCTTTTTATGATCATCTGCTTTGAATCATGATTTATGTCACACATTGCTTTTGTAGGCCTTCAGCTCAGACTTTAGGGGAACTACTTTCATCAGCAGAGTTTGCAACCAGTGTTGTAGTGTCAAACTAAACAAACATCATTCTGCACTGTGACTGTCTGACACACTAACAGCAAATAAGTCTCATGGTACTGTAGTTGGTAGCCCGGTCCTACGACAGACAAATATTGACAGCTGGTGGCCGTAACATAACGCTATAAGGTCAGAATCATTTTTATTTACATGCCACAGCAGCATCCAAAAAATATAGAAAAGAAAAAAAGGGTTGATACATTTTCAGTCCACAAACAATAAAAGTTATAATTTTAAAAACTAATCAAACTGGGAATACCACCAGAGCCTGTGGCCCAAACGACTTTGCAACTTTATTGGTTCTAGTTTAAAGAGCAACTTCACACACAGTTTGAAAATCCTGTCCGACCTACCATCTAGCCGTCACTGTATGTTCAGCCCGCAGCCTGTGACGTAAACTACCTAACTCTATATGGCAGATGTGTGATAGTGTGCTGATCACACCTGAGTGTATTCAGCAGCGCAACAGACTTCAAGCTTTCACATTCTTAAACAGCAGCCAACTTCTAAAAACCATTAGCACACAAGCTACTAGTGGCCCTTTCAAAATTTTGATAAAGCATTCAAATTAATGTCATCAGTGTGAAAGTAGTGTGGATATTTACCTGTTGGCACGTGAGTAAACCGATGGAGATCCTGGACAGAGGGGAACAGGGAGGAGAAGGAAAAGTCAATTCTTGATGTTTTCACTGTTAAATGTTTACTGTCTTGTCTCACACTTACTAGCGTACTCTCATCACTACCTGTCCACACACACTGGTGCAGTGCAACATCAAAACATGGGCACTAAGTAAGTTGTTTTCTTTTTTTTATCAGTAGGCTGAGAGAGAACTTGTGTGTCTCACCTTGAAGTACTTCCACTCAGTGTGCTGGTTCTGCTCACAGTGAGTGATGATGATGGCTGAATTATCGCTTCCTCTGGTCAGGCATTGGTCGTACTGCATCAGCTGGTTGACTTGATTTATACGGAACAACTACACACACACAAACAAACAAACAAACACACACACACGCAAACAAACATACACTGTTTGATTACGGTTCTTGAGCCCATTTTCCCCAACAGCAAATACAATCAGAAGAAGTTTCAGCAAACATTACGTACATTAACGTTTTGGCTAAATAAATGTAATAAACTAGAATTCTCGCTTAGCGGCTGAACACCTCTGCTACCAAGTGAAGTTGCAGCTGACATCCATGCCTGTCCATCCTCATGTATGTAGTTAAAACTGGGTGGGTGTATATGATTAGTGTCAAATTCCGTGTAAGAGCAAATATGAAATATGTTCACAATGTCCCTCTTGTTTCTGAGTTACAGTGTCGAATGTTACCGCTGTTCCCGCCCTCTTTAGGAAGAACACGCTGTCTGTGTCTGTGATTGAAAGCCAGAGGGGTCAATTACAGACATGCATAATCACAGTTTTAGCTGGATGACTACTGCTTTGTTAGGCGATGAATAGAACTAAACTAAATAGAACTAAAGCTACTCTCTGTGTGACAGTAACAGACCACATCAAAAACCATCTTCACCAGGACTTTGTTAAACTACAAGGGGAGAAAGCAAAACACTGCATGAGGCAAATTATGTTAAATTACCTGGTTGCCTCCCATCCTGTGGCACGGGCCTATTTCCACGTTCCCTCCATTTGTGTGTCCCATACTGTCAATACAGTAGCTTGTCTCAAAGGCCCGGATCTGAACACATTACACAGAATGTTAGAGGAAATCGTTACAACGAACTAATGATAAAAAACACAGTAAAGTGTGTGTGTGTGTGTGTGTGTGCGTGTGTGTTTGCACCTACCTCGCCCCACTCTACATTTTTAGGAGGAAGAGGATAGTGCAGTGGAATGTCATATGCTATTTCCTCCATGAACCATTTGAAACTTTTGCATCGATGCTCCTCCCTGAAAAAAACAAAAACAAATAGCAAGGAGTTTATTCAACCAATGAACTTACATTTGCATATTGCAAGAAAGTGCATTCATTTTTCAGGTTATGTTGAAAATGTTTTGTTTGTCTAAAGGCCAATTTGAAGAGAATAAATTGTACACTGTGGCCATTTTCACAACCAACATGAACAGGAGGACCAAATCACCTACAAAAACGTGTACATTTATCTTCTGATAATTTCGATGTTTTGACACTATCTTGATAGTTAATCCTCGAGTATAGATACTCAATTGTCAGCGCAGACAGTGAACAGTCTTCTTTTTTTATTTTTATTTTTTACAGTGCACTTACAGTATCAATTAAAACTTCCCTTGTGTGGTGCCTATACACAGTGCAAAAACAAATTTCCAGGTTCATTCCTTGTCAGCAAGGAGCTCCAGTATGACTTGGTCTGCGGTCTAATAGAATGCACAAGATTTGAATCACGTCAGACAGCGCGTGAGTTGTAAATCATCGTACGACAGGGGTGTCATTCTACAGCACACGCAGCTCTTACAGTTGTCCGCTGTAAAAGACTGAAGGGGAAAAGGACAGCTCAGAGTCTTGGTGCACAAAAATGAGGGCAACACAGTACACTTTGCGAAGCGGGTTTGAGATAAATATGTTAATTACGGTCATTTAATGCAATATTCTGACTAGCTGTTCATAATACGACGGCTGCTAGAATCCACGTATACAAACATCTGATCCTAACCTTATTACTCTCAGAAGTTGGATGCAGACTGATTCTGGTTGCCAAAGCTCTTGATTGGCAGACATTTCCTAAACTGCAGCCACTGCAAATTTTTGTCTGAGACCGAGTCTGCAACATTGCAGTGTACACAGGGCCTTCAGACGACTGATCAAACAGAATATGTATGTACCTGAAGCGTTTAAGACCACCTATGTCTCCATAGGCCAGGGTGAGAGTTTCGGGACGGCTAGCATAGAAGTAGTCCTTATAGTCATCCCACCATACCTCCACCACACGAACGTAGTTCTGTACACGCACACAAAGAGGAACACAAAAGCGTTTGTGTCTACCTGCAGATGAAAATTAGCCAACAATATGGTACAATACATATAATCATCATGATACACTTCATTTATAAAATGCTTTTCTGGATTCAGAATTATAAAAGTCATGGGGAGAAAAAAAGAAACCAATAAACAAAACTTATCCTGTCTCTATGAAATTAAAGGTTTTTGAAAATCATCCATAAAAACTACACCTGATAAACCATTACGCATCAAATCACATCAAATCAATTTGGCATTTGAAGTCACAACATAATAAGGATTTAAACTAATTGCATGCAGTAGGTCTAACTTCACGTCATAATACACACGTGTTAAGAAGAAAAATGCAAAATGGGCCAAATGAATACTAAAACATTTCCCACACGATTGGTAATTATAACAGAAGAATGTGTGAATATCAACATGCACATATATAGATGTGTAGATATATGTTGTGTGTGTAAAATAATGATAAATGTGCTATAAATAGCTACAGCAATTTGTTTTCATGTAATGACACCTGCTCTCGTAATGCTATTGTGACTTGCTGATGCAACACAAACTGCAAAATTGTACTTCTCATTTGGCATTTTTCCCACAATGACACCATGATCCATTCTGTTGCCAGCTGTAGCTGTAGTAATGAGGCGTCAGACTATACACAGCTCTGTAACTGTGATGAAAATAATCAGATTTCTGGGGGTTTTTTTTGTGGTCACAGTTTTAGTTGTAAGTCTGCAGAGTTTTATGCGTCTGGCTCACGGTATTTCAAAACTCTTCTACCTTCAGAGTGGGTGAGGATCCGACATGTGCAGGTGGAGGGTTGCCTTGCCATCCCTGAAGTCTGTAGATATGGCCGACACGAGAACATGGTACAAAGAGTAGTTGGCCACCACACTGCCAAATCTACATAAACAGAGAGATTATTTTAAAAAAAGCATTTGAATGACGTGTGGGAAGCCATCAATGTGTATAAACGGGACTATTTTATGTCTACCTTGTATGAAATTTCAAAATTCTCTCCTCCCCATATCTGAAGTCCTGGGTCATACAGACCCAGCTCAAAGAAGAAGTCTCTCTCTATAGCAAAGAGACCTCCTGCCATGGCTGGAGACCTACAGGTATAAAGACAGACACACACATCCACAAGCAGACATATAAACATTCAAACAGGTGCATCACTGTGCAGCTGGACATTATTCTTTATATTGAAAGTTAATAAGATTTTCAGCTATTAGTGCAAACATTGTGTACTCCTTAAAACTGGTCAGAACATCAGACATTACAATAACAATTACAGTGCATTTCTGTCTTATCATTGGCATCTGCATAGCCTGAACGCACAGTCTGTGTATTAACAACGAGAAACCAGGGAACACAGATGATCAGAATGGCAGAGAAACAATTCAAGCAAAATGAGAAATTAGTGAAAGCAAAGAAAGGAAAAGTATGACAGCAATGCATGATTAATTAAACAGTGGTTGGGGGAAAGTGGGTGTGATGGTGCCCCAGTTCGAACCCGATTCACACCAGAAGCTACCCTATAGACCCAACAAAACGTCCCAACATAAACCTCAATGGCTTTTGGATTAGGATCCAATTATTTCTCCCTCAAGGCAGTACAGTCATGTTGCCAGAGCCCTTTAAAGTCCCTGCAGTTCAAGAGGGTTGAAAGGAAAGCAAGTTCACAGTAAGACTAAGAGTAGTAGACGTTTGAGTGTAAACTCCTTAGATGGAACAAATGAGGTGTGACAACACTGTGGTGAAAACTATTCACTTCCACCAGTAGAAACAAGAGAATAACAATAAAAATAAGAATTCAAATGGATAAATAGGCTTATTGCCAATCTTAAGAGTTCAACAGAGTTCAAGACTTTAGTGTTTTCTGATCGGTATTTATTTTAGGATTATTGCTGCTCTAAATAGTCATATCTTGCACCGAGCTCCACTGGATCTTCTAACAGGAACTGACCAAGGGAACTGATTGGTCAATAGGAGGGGCTTTTAAACACACTGATCTCTTATCTGGAACATAGCCTGGAGCAGGTTAGCCATTCAGTTGAAGATATACCCCAGTAAGAACTGAACCACCACCGTAGTACTGAAAACCCAGAGTTAAACCTGAAGTTACCTCAATAAGCTCAAGTCCTGCTTCTTAGGACAGACCTCAGTTCTTACCATTTCTATTTTTTGACTTACGTTAGTCAGTTCTGAGTTGATATGGTTTCAGCTGAGCATTTCTTCAAATATTAGTCAATATAGCACAAGTCTTAATGTCAGACATATCATAAGAAATGGTTCTGGTTAGTTGGGATATATTCACCAACAGCGCTGGTAGTGTTAAGATTAGTGAGGAAGCATTGGTTTTCTGTACCTATATGGCTCAGTGTGAGTTTTTCTGAGTTTTTTTTCTCTGTCTCCCAGAGGAACTCTCTTCCAGAGCATGCTCCAATCCCAGGCTCCTCTAGCAAAACCATCGCTGTCCCCTCCACCCTGGGGATCGATGTTGAACGTCTGGCCGTTGACGGAGTCGATCAGAGGCACTGTACAGACCGTTCTGACATAGTGGGTGAGGGCCATGCACACAACAAACACGGGGATAAGAGGTGTCGGGGTGAAGCACATGAAGGGAGAACACAGACAGCAGTGCCAGTGAAAACACAAAGACGGGTGGGGGTGTTGCACACCAAGACAGAGTATGACACAGTGTAGAATAGGAGAGGTGGGATTCAGGGATGGGAAACAGAAACACAAAAGAACAGGGGTAAGATTTAACATGCCGGATGCATTGTGCGTATACCGGTAAGGCTGGGTGGTATGTTTTCTCTTGGCCTTCTCTCTCTGGCTAAGTGGTACCCTCTTCCAGAGCAGGCTCCAATCCCAAGCTCCTCTAGCCAGGCCGTCCTCATCTCCACCCTGCTGAGGCTCCATAGTGTACTCATTACCATCTATATAGTCTATCAGTGGTACTGTGCATACTGTCCTACATACAGACATACAGATACACACACACACACACACATACATACACAAACCTTTGTATTGGGTTGTGGTGTTCCCATGATATATACAATGGCACCACTGGTCAAAGTTTGTAACAGTGAACAGTTGCTACTACTACTACTGTCCTCTGCTGAAAATCAAAGATGGATAGATAGATAGATAGATAGATAGATAGATAGATAGATAGATAGATAGATAGATAGATGATAGATGGATAGATGGATGGATAGATGGATAGATGGATAGATAGATGGATAGATGGATGGATAGATGGATAGATGGATGGATAGATGGATAGATGGATGGATAGATGGATAGATAGATGGATAGATAGATGGATAGATAGATAGATAGATAGATNAGATAGATGGAGAGATAGATAGATAGATAGATAGATAGATAGATAGATAGATAGATAGATAGATAGATAGATAGATAGATAGATAGATAGATAGATGATAGATGGATGGATAGATGGATAGATGGATAGATAGATGGATAGATAGATGGATAGATAGATGGATAGATAGATGGATAGATAGATGGATAGATAGATAGATAGATAGAGAGATAGATAGATAGATAGATAGATAGATAGATAGATAGGAACACTCGAGCTCACAACATGCTGACACGTACTGAGTGGCAGCATTTATAGAAACGACTTGCAACACGGCAGTCGAGAAAGTGGCGCTGTAAAAGCTTTGACATAATCCCAGCGGATGCTGCAAGTGCTCGCTAAAAAAATGATTGAGAGCAACCTAAACATCCATCATGTGAGAAAAACATCCTTCTGAAACACATTCATGTTTGTCTGCCATGTTGTAGTAAAAAATCCCTGACCATGCATTATACATTATTGATACAGGGTTCAGGTGTGAAGTGATGGCAAATACTGCGTGTGCCTGCGGTTGATTGAATTAAGATGTGAGGAACACAAGCATAAAAGTGGCCTGAACGACAGAACAACAAAATAGATTGATCGATAACGTCAACAATGTTAACTACCGTATTTCTGAAAAGAGCTATAGGCATCTGTAAAATATAAGTTATGGCGTAATAAGTTGACTCTAAAGCCAGAAAAAGCCTTTTTTATATAAGCACAAACTTTGACAGCTATCATATGTGTGGGGCTGATCAGGTGCTTTTGTTACCTGTCTTTTGAAATAGGAGCAACCAACGGAGCATACCAGTTGACCCCAACCTCACAGTGAGCATCCAGGTAGATCAGCACCTAAAACCCAAAACGAGACAAACACTTCGATATCTGTGTTCCTGTCTGTTTAACGATAATTACGTTAGTTTTATGTAATGATGCCAGCTTAACCTCTACTATTAACTGTTGAGTCAAGTAATTTACACTGATGGCACAACTGTGTCTGCAAAATATTGTGAGAAATATCACACGCTGTAGTAGGAACAGTAGCAGAAATGCAGTGGCATTAGGATATTACCTGTCCTTTAGTAGCCTTCTTGGCTCCAATACTCCTGGCCTGGATCAGTCCTTCTCTCTTCTCATTTCTGAAGAGTTTTACAAGACCGTTCCACTGCTTGATGTACTCTTCCAAGCGCTCCTTCAGATGGGCTAGACAGACAGGCAGACAAGACACGTTAAAAAACAGATAAATAAATAAATAATGAGCTATTACTCAGATCTATTATATTACTACATGCACAGATCATCAAAGAGGAAACAAACGTTAAGTCGTAACTCATTTTTATTTTCTACAATTAGAGATGGTAACAACAACGTTTTGGGGAGGTAATATCTACATGCATTAGTAGTTCAGTAATGCCTTCAATGTCCAATAATGTCATCTCTATAAAATAAAACCAAGGCTGTCTGATTGAGTTTCTACTTATGTATTTCTGCCGGACCTTGTGTAAAAAGGATAATAACACCACGTTATCTTCTTTTGTCTAGCTCATCCTTTCTCTTCAACTTCTTTGAAAAAGTCAGAGTGATAACGTGCTTTACTGACTTCACCTTAATTGTGACATCTAGCTTGAGCTACAATCACTTCCAACTACACGTGCTACCTGCATCCAGCTGATGCACAAAACGTACATCCCTTTTATCACAATTATTCTGAAAAAGAAGGCATAGTCGATACTGTTAGCAAAGCGGCAGGACGCCTAAGTTAATTTGTCTAATGTCACAAAACTGCTCTGTTGCAAGCCAAGAAAATAAACAATGCTCAAAATGCATGTTTTGGGGTCTGTGTGAGCAGATTGACTGTTTCCGTTCACACCTTTATAATTCAGCATTGGAAGAGTTGTAATTGAAGCAGTGACTTTCGGACTCGGGACATGCTTTGATTTGTACGTGATTTTTTATCCATGGTGCCCAATAGGACATCTGTCTTGATTGGTTGGGATGAGTGTGGGGATGAGGGGGGGTGGGGGAGTGGTTAGGAAGGGAAGAAAACAAACAGGGCAATCTGGTAGCACCTGGCACACCTGAAGAATTATCACTAACATAACAATTTGCTGCAATGTTTTGCAAGAGGTGCAAAGTCACATACAGCCTTCCAGAAACATCCACAGGAGCCCACTGTGGTTTTCTGTGTACAATTTAAAGGCCAACGGGACTGTCTTCAAGACCAACATCTACCCCGCACCAGTTGCATCAGTCAGGGAAGTGGAACCCATGAACTGGCCTTAAAACTGACCTTGCACTCTTGTACCTCGCGTTGCCCTCTTAGATGGCTCTGACCTCCTGTGTAGCCTGCTCTAAGCAGACACACCTAACTTGTGCTTCCACAGAGGCAGACATACAACAAGCAACAATCTGCACTACAGAAAGCTTAGAAGCATGTAAATGTTTGAATCGTTGTATAGAGAAAGATTTAATGTCAGTTAGAGGAGAGGATATCTGTAAAGTTTACTGCAGTCGGCATGCGTCTTTCGTCCAATCCACCCGCCTCTGTCCATGTAACCAACTACAACAGTGTAACAAAGGAAAGCACACTCACCTTTGTTGCTGAAGTCATCTATCATGACAATCTCGGCAAGGTACCTCCTAGGAGTCCTTTTGATGACACTGTGGACAGTTCTCATCAACGTCGACCAGCCTTCATTGTGGAAGACTATCACCACACTGGATGTCATCAGTCTGTCATCATAATGCCAGTACTTACACCTGTAGAGGTGAGACAGAGCGCAAAGCTAGACATCAGTTCCCAGGACAGAAATGCAGGAACATTAGCAGTTCACCTCATGTATCTGTGAACATTTGTTCATGACCTAGAATTTGGTGTACTAATCTTTACTTTGTGATCGTAGCTAGTTTAGCTGAGTGCAACATGAGAATCATTCCAATCACCTGTATAAAAACAGCTGGATGAAATGAAAAGAAATGTCATATTTTAATCACTATTTCCAAGTTGTTTTCTACCGTTTGCATCCCTTTTTCCTGTTGTTGTGTAGGGGCACCTACTGGATTGAGCTGCAAAACCAAACACCACAGCACCACTCCAGCAACATTTTGGTTTAAAGCCAAATGAAAAAGGAACGCCCACTAGCTCAGAGGAAGCAGTTTGTCAGATATGGAGCAAAAAGGTGGCTGTCAGAGATGCCAATACTATCATTCTAAAACTAATGGAGGTATGGAATGAACAGAAAAAGATGATTAAGTCATAATCAAAATTATTTGTGTTATAATTTGTCATTTATTGGTTAAGTGGTCCAATAACACTAGTGCAGGGCCTAGACTCACTTAGCTAACCCATTCTGCCATATTTAATGATGTGACTGCACCTCACTACTATTGTTATAGGGGAAAACAGACTTGTTTGCATCTCTTTAAACCAGTTACTATGGTCTTGGGTAGAGCTAAGCAAAGAATGCAGCTTGAGTATTCCCTCAAAATGTATTAATTTACACAAAAGGAGATGACCACTGTCAATTCTTGGCACAACTTGAAAATTTCAGTGTAGTAGGTTGTTAGCCTGGAGGTTGTTGTCAAACCAGTAGCATGTAGATACCAGAAGAGAGGGACAAAACCCTAAAATGAGCCGCCAGTTGCAGTCTAAACACACTTGACTAAAATTAACACAAGCAACAAACTGAGTAAACAAGACGGCAGACTTCTTTGAGCGTAAAAAGTAGTACTCACTCTTCATGGCGTATGTCACTGATCGTTCTATCCAGTGAAATCATATCACTAGCTACCATGTTGAAGCCAAACTCTTTGACGGAAGCCTGGACGGACTCTTTGTACTCTGGGCCCAGAACAAATGGCTTGGCTCCCTCTCCAGGACCGCCGGGAATCCCTGGTGGTTCAGGCTCCTTTGGCTCAAAGTTTCCCAGGACACCTTTCTTCAGGACGGGGCTGGTATAGGCGTGAATGTGAGGTCCAAATGTGACATACTGCTGCTGGATGACCTGCTTCTGGTTGGGCTGCTGGTTGAAGTCTTGGGGATGATCGACCTTTCCTGGAGACAGCAACCGAAACACCAAAAGATGACACAATAGTACAACATACAAGTACTCATAAAACTGCCACTTGCACTTTTTTTTCAGGAGAAAAGTCATGTTTAAGACAATCATAATACTACAAAGTATGCATTCCATTTCATCAGCTACACCTGCCAAGGTATCAAAGATATTTTAAAAACATCTAGATTGTTTCAAATAAACCAACTGTGGTCTGCAAAGCAAATTCAACTATTTCCAGACCTACGTTGGACTTAATCTGTTTTTTTAGCATTGAGAAACAGCCATATAAAACTTGTACTGTACATATGTATCAAAACATAGGCTAATGTCAGTCATCTCTACACCTGTTTTAGCCACAGTCGACAAAAGCCTGAGAATGTGGAGGTTAAGTTTGTATATGGGATGACTGAAAACGGAGCTCGGCGAGTCTCACCATGCTGGAGTCTGATGGAGTTGAGGTCGACTTCCACCCCTTCCACATGAGGCCAAGGCACCACAGGCTTGAACTGATCAGCGAGGTCTCCTTTGCCCAGTAAAATGTCCTCCTGTATTAATGGAGTACAAAAGAGGGCATAATAAATTGCACAGATCCAGAGATCAATGCAAATTAAAACTGTATACTGCAGAGCAACTTTAGGCAGAGGGATAGTGAGCAGGAGGATGCAGCACATTTGGATCAGTAGAAAACAGCAAGGTGGAGGGCACCCCAGTAGCTCAACCAGATAAGACGGTGACCCATGTACAGGGGCTATAGTCCCCGACACAGCGGCTGTGGTTCCAGCCAGCAGCTCATTTGCTGCATGCATCTCCCCACTCATGACTGATTATGATTGACTATAGCTGGTGAGTCTTTGAAGCCAAAAAAATAAAAAATACTTGGAGCCATTTCAAAGCAGCTACAGACCCCAATATCATCTTTGCTACTTACAATTGTTTATGAGTACAAAGCGCATGTCACAGTCATATCACTGCCATAATAAGGAAGAACACACAAGCTTGGACAATTAGTCAGGAGTTAAACTTCTGGCAAACCACTCCATGCATCAGGAAGAGGAGGCATGGTTTTCATGGTCAAACTGCTGCAAAGAAGCCACTACTTAGGATGAACATCAAGAAGGAGAGAATTCTTTGGACCAAGAAACACAAGGAATGGACATTAGACCCGTGGAAATCTGTACTTTGGTCAGATGAGTCCAAATTTGAGATTTTTGGTTCCAACCGCCGTGTCTTTGTGAGACAGGAGAAGGTGAGCAGATGGTTTCTGCATGTGTGGTTCCCACTGTGAAGCCTGGAGGAGGAGGTGTGATGGCGTGGGGGGGCTTTGCTGGTGACACTGTTGGTGATTTATCCAAAATTCAAGGCACACTTGACCAGCGTGGCTACCACAGCATTCTGCAGCGCCAGGCCATCCCATCTGGTTTGAACGTACTGGGACCATCATTTGTTTTCAACAAGGCAATGACCCCAAACACACCTCCAGGCTCTGTAAGGGCTGTTTGACCAGGAAGGAAAGTGATGGAGTGCTGCAGCTCTCTTATATTTACAATGTAATTCTAGATGTGTTCCTTTATAGTTTCTGTGTCTTCAGTATTTATCTACAATGTGGAAAATAATAAAAAATAAAAACCACTGGAGAAGACAGGGGTGTCCCTACCTCTTGTGGGCATGCGCTAAGCAGTGCAGAGTGCAGTGGTAAAAACGCACCCAATTCTGCTTTTACAGTTAAATTTTACAGGTAACTTTAAAAGACATTGATTAAAAATTACCAAAAAGACCAGCCCCAAACACAAATGCAGCAGTGGGATTAACTCAAGTACTTTATTTACAGTTCTGTGATACTGGCACTTCACTTGATTATTTTATTTTCAAATCACTTGATCCTTATACTGCTCTACATTTCAGAGAGACATCTGTGTCCTTATTTACCAATTACTTTACAAAATTATGTTTTCAGAACACAATACAAATAAAGCGGTTATAAAATGTGCTTTTCCATTGATTACCCTAAAGTAACTACAAGTAGTGCTGAGAAGATTAGTTGGTAAACTGATGAACACCACTCATTTTAAGATTCCACCTTTTCAAAAGCAAATGTTTTGCCACCTCTACTTGTATTTTTTTTTTCCATAGCTTTCACTTATTGGTAGGAATTTTGCGGTTCAGATGAGCGTAGCAAATTTTTTAAATATTTGGGGGGAAACTTTTAGACAATGTTGGTGCAGAAAATTGCGGTTTTTAATGTCAAATGAGCCCCGATGAAAAATGCATAGAGTAATCTCCAACTTGTAGCAACACGAGTGAATAATTGTGTTCTGAAGAGAAAGCAGCCTTCTCTCTGCAGGTCAGGACCAGGCCTCTGAACCCAGTTCAGAGTCTCAGCAGTCCATGCAGAGCTCTCAACCAGAACCAGCACTCCATCAGGAAGCTGTCACCGCCACCAGAAGTATCGTAACAATATTTGAGCATGATTTATATGTACAGTTGAAACCAAAAGTTTACATACACTGTATAAAAAGACATATAACCCATTTTTTCCTCACTGTCTGACATTAAATAAGACTAAACTTTTCCTGTTTTAGGTCAGTTAGGATGACCAAAATTATTTATATTTGCTAAATGCCAGAATATTGCAAGATTTTTTTTTTTATTTCTCCTGCTAATGGTAACAAAAAAAAAAAGATTTTATGACTGTGGTTTTAACACCCTGCAGCCACAGCCTTCCTGCCTTCACAAAGTCACTGACTAGTAGCTACAAGTTCTGTCAAAAGAGCCCAAATAAGTGTAATATCCCTTCTTTATTGGTGCAGTTCTGGAAATAACTACAGTTGAACATTTCTACATGTTATATTTCATCACTGAATGTTGCCCTGCTGATGACTTAAGGATGGATTAAACTGAATTTACAGACTTCACTAAGCAGACCCACAATGAATGAAACAAATGAAAATGTACACATTTGCTGGGCTGTTGAATTAACAAAGAAAGCTTTATGTGCAGTGTCACTTCGGTGTGAAAACATTTCTAACCACTCTTTGAAAAAAATAAAATAAAGTCCATGAGCGGACAATGATGAGCTGCAAGCTACAGTGAAATGAGGCTTCAGTAATAAGAGGAATTATAACAGTATGTCCATCATTTAGCCATTTGACTGAGTGATATAGGTCCAAGAGTAACTCCTAACTTCTTCTCTCAGTTCCGCGTTTAAGAGAAGCATGAACGTGGTGACTTATGCGGATATACATCCTGGAATGAAGTCGGAATCCGCGTTGATGTGACAGTAACGCGACCACAAGCTCTAAACGCAACTGTACATGTAAATGAGTCAGCTACAGCCACCCGAGCAGCACTGGGACCATGAAACAGCACAAACAACGTGTTGTTTCATGCTTGTCACATTAGGAGTGATGCTTTTACCATAGAACACACACACACACGTACACACACCTTAGCATTGCTCAGTGTGCTGTGCACGGTGGCGTGTTGATTGGAGTTATGCTAGCTCTGCTAACTATGTGTACTTCCCTGTATTGCACACTGTGGTTGCTGCTTTGCTGTTATCAACTTACCTTTTTCCCAAAAGGGCTCTCGTCGCTGGGTCTGGGCGACAGAGAGGACCAGAGCACCACCAGGCCAAGAAACGTCCCAATGACAAGCAAACTCCGTAGAATAAATCCTACTTTCAGCCTCATCTTGGAAGCTCTTCCCCAGCCAGGCTGCCAACAGCTGGGCTACGTTAGCTGCTTCGGCTTCTAGCAAAGGCTAATCGGCTGCTAGTGCAGCTAGGCAGCTAACGACACGTTAGCTCCTAATGTTCGAAGTTAAACGAGGTTGCTGTTAACTCAGCGGCTCAACGCGGCTCTCTGCTGGAACTGTCGTTTGTATTCCGCCCGGCTGATGAACGGTTTCCTCTCCTGTTCCTATTTCCGTCTCCTCCTTGACAGTTGTCTGTGACCTGCTGCTCCTGAGCCCGGGCACTGGCGCCCCGCCCCGCCCCCACACTCTGGCTCTGCCCAGCCGAGACGGACCGCTGCAGCGGCCTGATGCCGGACAGTGTTGCCACACTGATGACAATTATCTCCTGGTGTACATATATTACTTATTGTCTTATATATTTGCCAACATCCAATTGTTCAACCTGTCTCACGGCTCCAGAGCGTAGAAAGCTGGCTCAGCCGTGGATTGGACGTGGATTTTAAAAGCAGGTAATACTGGGTGTGGAGAGACGAGCAGGCGGTCTGTCTGGTTTGTCTGTTCGCTGACGTGTTGCTGGTTTGTTGGAAATGCCAAGGTCACATAAAAATGCAAGGATGAGAGCATCTCAGTGAGAGAACGCAACAGAGACTGACATTTGTAATACACACATAACTGACTATAAGTTAGTGAAGAATAAACAAACAGTAGTCAGTGGTAGTAATGTACAACGTTATTAATAAAATGCAAAGCATCAGGAATAATAATTACACGATTGTAAGGTATTGCCATTGCTAGTTTCAAAGCAACATAGAGGGTGGATCATAGGTGTACAGGGCAAATGTTCAACACTCAGACTTTCTTTAACTTAAGGTAATGCTTCTTGATGTAATAGGCAAAGACTGTTACAACAGAATGAAATCCCTTCAAACAAAGAATACACTGGCTGCATATACTGGTTTAGTGGTGGCTTAGCTGGTAGAGCAGGTTGTCTTTTAATTAAAGGTCTGATACCAGGTTCCTCCTGCACGCATGCATCTTATCCAGGAATTTCCATTCCAGTGTAATTAGGCTCAGTGGTGGCCAGGCCCTCAATCTGCTCCAGGGGCTCCTCATCTGGGGACCCTGCACTCTGACTCCAACTTCATAAAAAGCCGGGATATGCCAAAGGGAATTTTATTGTGTCAAATCAAGGCTTCTTTCTTTCTTTAGTACGTCTCCATGCTCACTTTGGTGGACTGGCCACTGAGGTAAATAATTTACTGTTATATACATTTGCATACACGTACCGAAAAAAAACCTTTCTTACCAATGAAAATTACATTTCAATATTCACAAAATGGCATCTTTAGAGACAAAGTGAGTTCAAAGTCTGGCTCAGCTGTCAGGTCTCATCACATAGGTCATCATCTCACAGAAAAAGTCCTATTGCATAAACTTAAAATACAGAGACTGTGTCAATTATGGCAACACAAAGGGAACATATAATGTAATAAAGTATGCAGCAGAGTGGTATTTTAATATAATGATGTCGTAGCCGAACCCTATCAAACAATTTAAACTATAGTGATATTTTATGAAATGTGGTTCATACAGAGACATGCGGTTGAAACCAGAAGTTTACATACCCTGTATAAAAAGACATTTTCTTTTCTTACTATTTGACATTAAATCAGACTAAACTTTTCCTGTTTCAGGTCAGTTAGGATTACCAAAATGATTTCTATTTGCTAAACGGCAGAATAATGACAGAATCTTTTAGACAATTTTTTCTTACTTTCTTCAAAGTCATTAGTTTACATGCTTTTCTGTAGTATTTGGTAGCGTTGCCTTTAAACTGTATGATTCGGGTCGAACGTTCCGGGTTTCCTTCCGCAAGCTTCTCACAATAGTTGGATGAATTCTGGCCCGTTCCTCCTGATACAACCAGTGGAACTGAGTCAGGTTTGTTGGCTGCCTTGCTCACACACACCTAAGAATACTATGTCTTCAAACTAATTTGGAAAGCCAAGACAATGGTGTCATGGCTTTGGAAGCTTTTGATAGGTTAATGGACAACATTTGAGTTCACTGGAGGCACACCTGTGGTTCTATTTTAAGGCACACCTCAAACACACTGCTTCCTTTTCTGACTAAATAAATCAGCCAAGATATCAGGAAGAGAATTGTGGACCTCCACATGTCTAAATCATCCTTGGGTACAATTTCCAGATGAAGGTTCTACATTCATCTGTTCAAACAATTATATCAACTATAACCACCGTGGGAATGTCCAGCCATCATAGGCTCAGGAAGGAGACGGGTTCTGTGTCCCAGAGATGAAGTGTTTTGGTTGAAATGTGCGCATTAACCCCAGAACAAAAGCAAAAGACCTTGTGAAGATGCTGCTGAAGCTGGTCAGAGAGTCATTATCCACAGTGAAAAACAGTCCTGTACCGACATGAGCTGAAAGGCTGCTCAGAGAGGAAGAAGACATTACACCAAAAGCAACATAAAAAAGACAGATGGCAGTTTGCAAATGCACACAGGGACAAAGACCTTAATTTGTGGAGACATGTCCTGTGGTCTGATGAAACTAAAACTGAACTGTTTGGCCTTAATGACCATCGTTGCATTTGGAGGGAAAAGGGGGACGCTTACAAGCCTGAGAACACCATCCCAACTGTGAAGCACGGGGGTGGCAGCATCATGCTGTGGAGGGACTGGTGCACTTCACAACATAGATGGTATCATGAGTAAACATGTGGAAATATTGAAGCAACATCTCAAGACATCAGCCAGGAAGTTAAAGCTTGGGCACTAATGGGTCTTCAGATGGACAATGTCCCTCAGCATAGCGCCAGATTAGTTACAGAGAGGCTTCAGGACAACAAAGTCAGTGTTTTGGAGTGGCCATCACAAAGCCCTGATCTCAATCCTGAAGACAATAGTGGGCAGAGCTGAAAAGGTGTGTGGAGCAAGGCGGCCAACAAACCTGACTCAGTTCCACCAGTTCTGTCAGGAGGAATGGGCCAGAATTCATCCAACTATTGTGAGAAGCTTGTGGAAGGAAACCCAAAACGTTTGACCCAAATCATACAGTTTAAAGGCAACGCTACCAGATACTAAGGAAATGCATGTAAACTTCTGACTTTGAAGAACGTAATAAAAAAATTAGCTGAAAAATTCTCTGTCATTACTCTGTCATTTAGTAAATATAAATAATGTTGGTAATCCAAACTGACCTGAAACAGGAAAACTTTAGTCTGATTTAATGTCAGACAGTCAGAAAAAAAAGGTTAAATGTCTTTTTATACAGTGGATGTAAACTTCTGGTTTCAACTCTTCATACAAACAACAAGGTACACACAAACTCAAAAGGTTAAAGAAGTGGCTGCCTAAGCGTGTGTCCATCAGCCTATGTGTGCTCCAGATAGTGAGTGAGCCTGGAAGGAAGAGGAAGGAGGGGGAGCAACGTCAGCCTGGATCGTCCAAGCAGCTTTCTGATTTGGAGACGACACAACTGGCAGAGACTCCTTGGAGAAACTAGAGAGACACAGGATGGGGTCTTACTGTTGCAATATAGCTCTGCTTGAATTTTAAGTGGTTTCATGTATCTATATTGCTAATAACTGCAGTAAAAGATATTGCAGTACCTTCAAACGCTAGCAGCAGCTGTTGCGTTTTTCCACCAGGAGGCGCGACTTCCACCGGCCGCTGATTGTTACTGTCTCTGAGGTTGACGTCTGCTCCGTAGTCCAGTAACACTGACACCTGATCGGCACTGCCCTGTCTGACAGCTGCATGCAGAGGGCTGTCGCCTCCTCTGCCAACGTTAACATTGGCTCCTACATGAGGCAAGGACAAGTGGAATGGACAGGAGAGTAAAATGTAATGAATTATAATGGATTTAATGTAGTCATAGTCTAGACATAACACAACAAAACTACAATATTATTAATTTGCCCTCCATATAGGGCCCCTAAGATAATACAGAGGGATCAATCAAATCAAATCAAATCAAATCAGGTTTATTGTCATTTTGCTGTACATACACAGTAGTACAGGCAAGATGAGAGAGCATTTCTACAGGATCATTTAATTAGTAAGTTTTGAGGAATAAACATCTGGGATAGGCAAGACACTAAACGTTCTTTCCTCGCTGTCTCCTGAAGGGGGCACAGCGTCCATACGCGCCGCCATCAATCATCACAAGGTGATCACAGAGATAAGAAAGAAAAAAGAAAGTATTTCTGTTGCACAAATGTAGATTTCTAACTTTATTCTAATTAAAGGTCCGGTCAGCAAAGGTGCTGAAAAGCCACTGCAATTGTTTTCATTCTTATTTTTTCCGATATGTTTTCTTTGTTGAAAGTGTACCCACAGCAAGACCTCATGAAGCACCTGGTGGCTTTCACATTTGATCTCATATTTGGACAAAAAATTGACCTCATTGACCTCAAGATGGTGCTTTAGTAATCAAACAAACATTTTCATAATCATCTTCAAAATTCTACCATCATTTTCATCTTGTAATTTATCTGCATCTTTACTTGACTGGTCTTCTTACATGTTTTTAATGAGTTTTTTTTTTTTTTTTTTTTACAAAATTTAAAAACATATTTTTAACAGTTCCTCAGAAACCGCTGAAACAGTTTTCCCAAAACTGAGTCAGGCTCACCAACAGCTGTTAAACAAATTTCATTATGTCAATCTATTTTTATTACATAAGTCAATCGATTTTTTTAATCAAATTTTTTTTTTCCACAAATTTGCAATGACTAAAGAATGCTTTGAGACTTTTAAGTTTACGGCCACCTGCTCTCAGTGCAGGACGTAACAAAGGTATGGTTCATGTTGAAATGGCAGAAAGTTGCAGAAACTGAAACCCACCTCTGTGCAGCAGCATCTTTGAGCAGGCTGTGTGTTGGTATAGACAGCTCATGTAAAGGGGAGAGCCCAAGTGGGACACTTCATAGTCGGGATCTGCTCCATTACAGAGTAGGGACTCCACACACTGGCTGTTTCCTGCACACGTTAAAACACAACGTTGAAAAATGCATAAACCTGAGGCTAAAATACACAGTACAAATTGTACCAGTTGTTTTTAATAAGATTTATATTTTCATAATTTATTTTAGTATCAGTATTTACCTCTTTTGCAGGCTTCATGCAAAGGCGAGGGATAGTGTGTGTGTGTCGTGTGTGTGTGTGCTCCATTCTGCAGCAGCAGCTCCATACAACCAACACTCCCAGAGGCACAACTGTTATACAGAGGAGTGACCCCATCGATGGTTGCGGCATTTACCTAGACACAAACACTAATGTGAGCAACACAAAACAGTCGCTATACGTCCTAACAAGCAAACATATTGGCATGTAAACGGGTGGACATGCAGTGATCAATGATAATGTAAAGAATAACACTTACATTAGCTCCAGCATTTATTAACAGTCTCACAGATGCTACGTGTCCCGACAGGCAGGCTTCATGGAGAGGGGTCACATGGTCAATGGTCACAATGTTAGCGTGATAACCCTAAAAAAAATAAAAGCATAGACATTGTTCATGTATTTGTTTCAGGGGCATTGTACCGTAGCGTAGTGAGGGGCAGAAGAACAGGAACGTTTCAAAGTAACACACAGGGAGTCCAGAGACCCTTTCAGCTGCAGCACCAGCACAGTAAACAGACTTGACAGCAAATCAGAACCAAACATAAAAACGTATTTACGTTTTTTCTGCATCGCCAACTAAATACATGTCTGGTTCCCATGGTAACTCGATACATACAGTGTGTGATACTGTAACTACACGGCTTTATTTCAGTTATATTAGTACCGCACAAGTCAGCATGTTTACATCCATCCATCCATCCATTATCTATACACCGCTTAATCCTCACTAGGGTCGTGGGGGGCTGGAGTCTATCCCAGCTGACTCAGGGTGAAGGCAGGAGACACCCTGGACAGGTCACCAGTCTATCACAGGGCTACACTTAGAGACAGACAACCAAGCACACTCACATTCACACCTACTGACAATTTAGAATCACCAATTAACCTCAACATGTTTTTGGACTGTGTGGGAGGAAGCTGGAGAACCCGGAGAGAACCCACACTGCACGGGGAGAACATGGAGACTCCACACAGAAAGATCTCGGGCGTCCTCACCGGGACGCAAACTTCTAGCTGTGAGGCGACGGTGCTAACCACCGAGCCACTGTACCGCCCACACAATGAAAATCAAAGGACTAAAATGAATATACATTTTGGCAAACAGCAAACTCAGTATCAGCTGACAAAATTAACAATTACGACTTTATTATTCTATTTATTAACAATTACAGAATTTGTAGATAAATACCGTTTGAAGCAGAAAATAATACAAACCTTGTGGTTCTGTTTTATTTGGCTTTTGAGGTGTTTGAGTTTCTCTAATTTGAATAAATTATGAGTGAAAAACAACAAAAAAAACATTAACTGGAGTACATTTCTCATAACCTCAGAATTCACTGGGGGATGTGTGTGTCTGCTGTACTTTAAACAGAAGATCCCACTGTGTGTGTGTGTGTGTGTGTGTGACGGTGTTACCTGGGCTAGCAGAGTGCGCAGGGCAAGCAGTCGACCCTGAGAGGCTGCTTCATGGAGAGGAGAGCGATCTGCCCACGACCCTGGATACACACACACGGACACACACAGACACACACAGACACACACACACACACAGGTTATCTACTTGTTCTTAGACCAACAGATGGAGAAAACTGTGGGGAAGGATATTACTGTGCGTACCGAGGCATCATGTGTGACTGTGTGGCAATGGCAAATAGTTTACAAGGCTCACGGGTCAGGTACGAGGCCTCTTAGCAGAATTTTACTTGGGCCATAAGACTGGCTCTGAGTACAACTTATTAAAAGCCCTTCTAAATGAACTGTTATTTGTATGTGTTTGTTTGCTTACCACTGTTTCATGAGGTTTGTTAAATGTTTGTATTAATGTGTAGTGTTATTAACAAAACCGCAGTTCTGCATTGCTAAGCATAAAGTCATGAAGATTTAAAATTTTCCCACTATCATTTTGATGATTGAGATGGATGAGTGATATGAGGGGAAGAAGAGCAGGTGTAGCGTTGACCCTGGGTTTGAAGACCATTATCAAACTAGGAAACTACTGTTTGAGTCTGACTTTAGACCTTTACTGCATGTAATAAAGATGTGATAAAGATCCAAAATGAGCACATACTGAACAAGAGTCGTCATTTTAAGTACTGAAAATGTAAGTAGATCATTCAATTAGCAGAAAATGAATGAGCAATTCTTGATAACAAAATAATCTTTGAAGTAATTTGTTAAAGGAAATGCCAGAAACACTTTAAGGACATCTCCAACCATTTACGTCCATCCATTATCTATACACCGCTTAATCCTCATTAGGGTCGCGGGGGGCTGGAGTCTATCCCAGCTGACTCAGAGTGAAGGCAGGGGACACCCTGGACAGGTCACCAGTCTATCACAGGGCTACACTTAGAGACAGACAACCAAGCACACTCACATTCACACCTACAGACAATTTAGAATCACCAATTAACCTCAACATGTTTCTGGACTGTGTGGGAGGAAGCCGAAGAACCCGGAGAGAACCCACGCTGCACGGGGAGAACATGCAAACTCTACACAAACCGGCGATCTTGCTGCGAGGCAACAGTGCTGCAGACTGCAGCCCCAACCATTTATGCGCATAATTTAAACATTTATGACTTTGCCCTTCAAGAAAGAAATAAAGAAAGAAAGAAGCATACAGACAGGACTACTTTTCATTGGGATTTTCTTATTTTGCTTAAAGGAAAAACTTGAAGACATGAAACAGCAAGATGCGAAAACCACACAACACTGCAAAACACACACTATGAAAAAAATAAAATTGGTGGTAATTAGGTCAAATATCTTGAAACATAATCTGTAGCAGGACTTCAGCATTGCTCAGTTATATTTAGGGCTAGTTCGCTCTCAGCAGCTGCTGCAAAAATAACTGTACAGCAGCATACCACTCATAAACATAGACTCTTATCTGTGACATACCCATATCCCCGTCTCCCCATGGCACATCCAGCCACTGGTACACGTACGGCATTTCGAATTAAATGGAAGTGAAAGAACCTCCACACCTTCTGCTTGTCCCTACAGTGCATGGGGTGTTTCAGACTGTGGATCACCTGACCATCTACACTGAACACTGGCAACACACTGCAAGCGCTAAAAATAAACACTAACTAACCCACTAACACACTGAACAACTAGCTGGACAACTGACAGGTTGCTTCTGCCACTAACATCAACACATTAGTACCAAACAAACTGACCTTTCAGGCAGCTGTTACTGAGAGGTTTAACCACTGAGTCTGTCAACCACCAAGAAGTCTTATATACCCATCTAATCTGCTGAGAAACGACAAAAACAGAGGCAGAAAACCATAATAAAATTAAAATCATAGTCCAAATAGTCCAGATTTTGGTTGTAATTCTTATTTTATTTTTTATTTTTTTTAAATGCCTATACGTGTTATTTTTACATAAAAGAAATTAATATTGAGCTACAGTTTTAAAAATGCCCACCAACAACTAACTCAGCCTGGCATGTATGTGCTATCAAATCTGATCAACAACTGTTTAACACTCCCTGTGTTCAGTTTCCAACAGAAGCTCCAAATTTCTAAACGTCCGCCCAACTGCCCACTGATATTTTAAACGTCAACACAGCTCTGAGCTGATCAGGAAAGGAATTATCAAGATCATAGGGAAATTTTTGGCATCCCCTGCCATACAAAGCAAAATTAACCAGCAACAAAACGTCAAGAATCGAGAACAATGGATTTTTTTACCAGTTTTGTTATTTGGGGATTCATTTATTCAACCATAATAGTCAACTTTGTTTCTGAACAACAACTAATCATGTTTGCTGTCGTGGGTAGTCATCTCCAAAAGCCCCATGCGGATGTAAACTTCGGGTATAAGCCTGCCATTTACACCTTTCACGCAGCTTTCGCCTTCCTCACCAATATTTCTGTTACCATTATCAAAAGCCCCTTTGCTCCAGATACAATTTACAATTTCACTTCGGCAGCTTGCCTGCCATTGGAAGCAACTTCAGGTTCCGTGTCTTGCCCAAGGACACTTCGACTGTGGCGGGGCGGGGGATCGAACCGCCAACCTTGCAATTTAGAGGACAACCAGCTCTACCACCTGAGAGCCGCCCACAGCCACTACAGGAAACAGTAACTTCCAAACAGTACCCTACACGCTGTCAATGACAAGTTTTGCTGAAGAGTTGGACTGTGCAATAAGGCAGCCCTGCCCTCGGTTTTTGTTTGTCTGTTTTTTTGTTGTGTGTGAATTATCCATGTTATTGACTGTGCTTGTTTCCCTGCATGGAAGTGTTCCACCAAAACAATTCCCCACACTCCGCACATTATTTTGCAGGATCGCCCAAAGCTTAGTGCACCCAAGACAACTGTGATTGTTTTAGAGAAATACAAAGCCCATAATAATAAGAATAGCAGATACATAATGAAGTGCAGACAGGTGGTCCTCCAGACTGGCAATGTGCTGCAGAGACCAGTGTGGCCATGCAGGACTTCTTCAGTAAAAAGCTTCACCTCTCATCCAAGAGATTTCTTCTGTACCTGCAAACTCAGAACTATATAGCACTGCACAAGTTCTTCATCTGTCCTACACAGAAGAAAAACAGCTTCATGACAAGAAATCAAGATGAAAATATAGGATTTCTGTTTTATGTATTCCACTGAAGATGGCCGCCGTGTCCTCATTGCTCTGCACAGAGCTGATGTTTTCATCTGTCATCCTTCACTGAACTGGTCCCATTCATTCTAGTTTCACTTTCCCACCCCAGGATGATGTGCTCCCACTGGCCCCTGCCAGCACAGCGCCCCCAGTGGCCGGCTGGAGGAGGATGGAAGGCGACATAGTGCCGTCAAGAGTTGTAAACACAGTGAGCACAATCAGTGAAAGGCCCCAGAATCAAATGCCAGCTGCACATCACATTATGACTACGAACCTACATTAAGGGCAACGTTGTCCATACTGCTGCTTCATTTGCCTTCAACTAGAAGCTCTGACACATCTCTAAACAACCTGTGATGTTCAACACAGCACGTTAAGTACCGACCTTGGCTGGTCAGAATTCCCCAGCAGGCCCTCTTCCTCTCCGGGCCGTGCTTGATTAGCGGGCCTGGATCAGCACCCCTTTTCCGGGACACCTCCGGAGCTTCGGACGGAACCTCTGGCATGTTCCCACGGCTCCGGCTCACGCGCTCTCCTGTTCAAAGCGCACTGCACGAGCTGTAGAGCTGCAGCTCGCGGGGGGGAGGGGGAGGGGTTGCTGTATCGCTGGGTCTGTTCTGATTGGCTGAAAGGTTTTGTTGTTGTTGTGTCCAAGACGCGTCATGATCTCACATGCGCGGCCATGTGTAGGACAGAGAGATGATATTTTGGTATGTGCACAAGCTGGTATAGTGTTGGAGATATATCTGGCGATGCTGAGGAGTTTCTACTTATATGTACATTACGTTACGTAATTATATAAAAATAAAAGTAATAGTAATCTGTTACCGTTACTGAGAAAAACATGGAAATAAATTACAGGTAGCATTGAAATTATTGGTGATTACAAATGGGTTAACACTGAATGTTTTCTTCAGTCAGATAAGCAGTAGAAATACACTTGAATGTCAGAGCTGTGACTTTGTGCAGACAAGCTCCACTCTTTTGGTAATATACACTCAAGATAAGATAAGATATACCTTTATTTATCTCACAGTGGAGAAACTCACATTGTTGTCAGCAGCAGTACACACAGAGAAATAGTGCAAACACAAGTATAAAATTACACACATGAAAAAAGAATAGTGCAAGCATAGATTCGAAAAATGAGGATATATAGAAAAGATATATATTAAGATATAGAAAAGATATAGAAAATAAATAGCAAAGATATAATAACAGATATAACAACAACAACAACAATAGCACTAATAATAAACAGTGCAAATGCAAATATATACATATATACATGAATTGTGCAAATAACCAGTGTAATATAAATAGATTATTTCTAAATATGAGTGGTTTTGTTTATTTAACATTTTTTTAAAAGGGGCGGTGACAACTTGTCATCATCCTCCTGTCACCCACCACCTCCACAGGATCGAGACTGCAGCCCAGGACAGAGCCGGCCTTCTTCACCAGCTTGTTCAGGCTCTTCCTCTCAGCAGCCGTGATGCTGCTGCTCCAGCAGACCACAACATAAAAAATTGCTGACGCCACCACAGAGTCATAGAATGTCCTTAGGAGGCCTTCCTGCACACCGAAGGACCTCAGTCTGCGCAGCAGGTAGAGTCTGCTCTGACCATTTTTGCACAGAGTGTGCAGAGTATTTACAGTCCAGTCCAGGTTTTTGCTCAGGTGAACACCCAGGTACTTCAAGTACTACAAATTTTGAGTGCTGTTATTGATTTGTTCTCCTTTTTTAACATTAGGTCTAACATTACTGTAAAAGTAGAGTTGGGTTGAGGAAAAGGTTATATTTCTTCTTAAGCTTACTAAATTCAGTTAGTTCAGGATGGTTGTAGGACGGCCATCTTTCACCTGAGAAATATTATAAAAATCAGGAACATTCTGTCTCAGAGTGATGCTGAGAAAGACGTTCATGCATTTGTAACTTCCAGCTGATCCAAAATGCTGCAGCCAGAGTTCTGACATTAACCAGTAAGAGAGATCATCTCCTGTATTTGTTTGTCATCATTGGCTCCCTGCAAAATCCAGGGTAGAATTGAAAATCCTGCTTCTCACATATAAAACTCTTAATGACCAGCTCCATCTTGTCTTATAGACCTTATTGTGCCGTATCATCCTAACAGAGCCCTTCCCTCTCAGTCTGCAGGTCTACTTGTGGTTCTCAGAGTTTCCAGAAGTAGAATGGGGGCAGAGCCTTCAGCTCCCCTCACTTCAGCTTACCTCAAAATATGCCTGTAGAGTGCCAAGAGTTTACTCCCACACAACAGCTTAGTTTTAGCTAACCACATACATTTTCCGTAATTATTGATTGCACAATATTGGGAAACACTGTGTGCTACTCATTCCTGGACATGTATGCACTGATAACCAAGAACATGAACAATTTTACACAAATTCATATTACATTAGTGACTGTTGACACTTGTCAGTATCAGCAGCAAAAGCTGAAAAAAAGCTGTTGATGATCACAACTAATAGACATATACATACATACATAACTTAAGTTGAGGAACAAAGACCACTCCTTATCTGCCTGTCCAAGCCTATACAAGCATCGAACAATGTCTCTTGTTTTTCTTTCTTCCTTTTAGCGCAAGAACCACAAGGGGATTTAATAAAGCCTAAAGACACACTGTAATGAGATGGCACCTTCCCTCTTGCACCATGAGTCCAGGGAGTATCAACTTCCTTGGTTTCACAAGCCTTTTCCTTTTGTTTTTCTTTTCTTTTTTTGCTCAATGTTCAATTTGTAGCACACTTGAATGAGCCACTCAGTAAGCTTTGGAAATGAACTTTACTTCAGTGAGGTTCTGTCAATATACACAGACACAGCGACACTATTGTCACGATGCTCGTACTCTCATCAACACTCTACAAGATCAGAGGCTTTTCCCCACAGACAGCACTCACAAACAGTGAACTCCATCTGGGATGAACCATGCCTGTGTGTTTTAGTTGGAGCACAACAATTACTTAAAACTTAAATAACATCAGCAGCAAATATTAAACTAGACAACACACAAACTAAGATTTCAAACAATACAATAAACAAATATGTGGGGGGTATCCATGTTTTGACAATGCTATTCTCACTAATGTTTAACAGAAGAATTCTACAAATGCAAACTGATGACAAATTTGATCCACTGAGCTTTCAGTTGACAACAATTGATAGTCACCTGCTGGTGTCGGACAGTCATAAAAATTACACTGGTCATTGAATCAATGAGATCACAGGGTCCCTCAGTTAACCTGGAATAAATTAAATTACAATGAATTAATGAAGAAAACCAATCCTGTCTGAATTTTGGAACATCTCTTTTGCCTTCCCTCAGAATATACAGTAATAATATAATAATATATTATGTATATTTTATTGTACAATATATGTATATACATAATATACAGTATCACAAAACGTTAGGACGTGATCGCTCCTCATTACCATACATGTTCGAGAATATAATCAAAAAAGAATTTAGAATGATAAAGAAGGGTATGCTCTTTTCTTTTAAAAAAATAAACTTTATTAGGAAAAACAAAGCAGTACAGAGCAATACAATACAACCACCAGGGGGTTACAATTTTTCAGAAGCAGTATTTCAGAATATCACATGAAGAAGAGCACATAAATATAAAGTCTTGATGGCTTTCATATCAGTGGAATGTCTCATAGTTTTAATACATTGTTTGACCTCATTATCAAAGACAGAAGACAGTGGTTTTTGAATAGTGTATCGACATTTGTGGATATGATATTTTGGCTAAATAAATATTAGATTAATGATATGATTTTTTTTTTTTCCTCAGATGGATAGTTAGTGAAGCCAAACAATACATGTTCAAAGCAAAGGGAAAAAGATGCTTAGATACAAGTAGAAATCAAGTTGTAAATGTCTGTCCACAATTTGGTGGAGATGGGAGACCAAAATAAATGAAATACATCTTCCAGGTGTCCTTTACAGAAAGAGCAATTTTTTTTTTTATCTATATCTTTTTTGAATCGTTGGAGAAAAACCTTTGATGGTTAAAATCTGTGAATTATTTTGAAAGATACTTCTTTTAATTTATTATTTATCATATGTCTAGTTGGCAAGTTCCAAATCTTTTCCCTGTCAATATTATTAATAAAGCTGTTCCAATAAGACACCCCATACGATTCCTCAAATATTAGAGATTTCTGCTTTTCAAAAAACATATTAATGTGATTAGCTAAATACACATGTCGATGTGTAACATAAATATAGCAAATCAATTTAATATCTGGCTACTACTCACCAAAAATCGCAGATCTGTGTCTCTGAATTTACGATTTCAAATTGCCCGCCGAGGACTTCCGGGAACTATCTGAACTCTTCGAACTTCGGCTGTCTCTTATGCTTTTATTTTGAAGCGGAGCGGAAACGGAAAATGCGTGTATATTCCACAAAACGTTTGTTTCCGGGGTTTTGTACCCGCCGTCTGAGCACGGTTTAAGGCATACGTGTGCTATTGAATTACTGTAAATCTTGGAATTGCAGTTTTTGTAGCTACAAAAAAATGAATACGGTTCTGTCGAGAGCGAACTCTTTGTTCGCCTTCTCCCTGAGCGTCATGGCGGCCTTAACTTTCGGATGCTTCATCACCACAGCGTTCAAAGACAGAAGAGTTCCGGTGGACATCCACGTCTCCAAAGTGATGCTGTAAGACTCGTTTGTAACAGCTGTTAGTAGAACGTGGTTTTGCACAGTGTCCCAGCTTCGTTACGTTAACTGAGTGTTAGAACACAGTGCAAAGACATTTAATGCGAGACGTTTTCATGCTAACTCTGTGTGTGAGGAAGTCAGCCTGCAGGCCTTCAGCAACTGTTGGATCACATTTTACAGTAGATATACAGAGCTGGGGTGTTGTTTTCAATATTTACTCTTAAACTGCACGCATACAGAGTTGCGTTTGACGGTAAATATTTTCAGGAGTACTGGTGAAGAACATTCACCTCTCCAAGGCAGTCTTGTAGATGAATCGTAGCAGCTGGACTTGCTTGAGTTCCTTGAAGACGTTTCATCCAAGAGGCTTCATCGGTTCTGACTGACTAGTTGGGAGTTCCAGATACTTATAGCCTTAAAGAGCCATTTACACCTGAGTTTGGGTTTCAATTGGGGGTTTGTTGCTCCCTCTCCCTCGTTATGTGAGTCCTTCCTGCCACAATGGGGTTCGTTAGGGTCTTTTATAACTAGGTGTGAATGTGGTTTCATCTTCCTGGAGAGACAGGTGAGAGGTGATGCCTCAGTCCTCCACCGCTGTTGCTGGTTGGTCTTTCCAGTTTGACACAGATGGCTTCTTTCACTCCTGTCTCAAACCATCTGTTCTCCCTGCCCAAAATCTGTACATTATTGTCTTTAAATGAGTGTCCTTTGTCCTTATTTTGAGATACTGATATTTTCATAGGGGCTGCAAGGTGACTCGGTGGTTAGCACCGTTGCCTCGTAGCTAGAAGGTCACTGGTTCGCATCCCAGTCAGGACATCAGGATCTTTCTGTGTGGAGTTTGCATGTTCTCCCCGTGCAGCGTGGGTTCTCTCTGGGTTCTCTGCCTTCCTCCCACAGGGTCCAAAAACATATTAATTGGTGATTCTAAATTGTCCATAGGTGTGAGTGTGCTTGGTTGTCTGTCTCTAAGTGTAGCCCTGTGATGAACTGGTGACCTGTCCAGGTGTCCCCTGCCTTCACCCGGAGTCAGCTGGGATAGATTCCAGCCCCCCATGACCCTAGTGAGGATTAAGCGGTGTATAGATAATGGATTGATGGATGTTAGCAAATTAAATACTTCATAGTGCATGTGACAGACTCTTTAACATTTCTTGGACTCAAAGGTTATTATTTAATTTCAACAGACTATCTTGTGATGCATTTAATTTGTTCAGTACAAACTGTGCAACTCATCTTTCTCCATCTCCCTTCTTTTTCTATTTACAACAGGAAGAACGTGGATGACTTTACTGGACCCAGAGAGCGCAGCGATCTTGGTTTCATTACCTTCGACCTCTCAGCTGATATCCTTTGCAGCAGGGCTCCTCGGTTACACGTGGTGAACAGTACATGTAAGATGAAAAAGAAACTTGTTAACCCTCGTCTGGTAGGTTTTGTTTTGTAGTAAATCAAAGGTCAGTTATTTGGAACAAATTGTTAAATAAATGCATGTGGTTAAAAGGTCTCTTTTAGTCTCCTGTATATGTTTTCAATAGGTACTCTTTAATTTCCTGCATAGGCAGCAACGTCTGATGTTGGGTGTTTTCAGGAGTTAGGTTAACACACTGTTCAGAAGTTTTGGGCATTGAAACTAAAGTGCAGATGCTTTCAAAAATAACGTCATGAATGGTCTTTGTCAGTAAACTTCACATAAGGGGCATTAAAAAGAAAACTGTAATACAGTATAAACATGTGAGAGGATGCTTATCTCCTGGGTGTTGTGGGGCACATATCTGTTCTTTTGTTGGTTCTTTAACTTTTCCCACATTTGCAGCCAATTTTTGACTGGAATGTCAAACAGCTGTTTCTCTATCTGTCTGCTGAGTATGCCACAAAGATCAATGTAAGTAATAATCGTCATAGAAATGTTGTTGTTTAATTATTTTTTTGTTAAGAAGAGCACGTAAAAGTAGCATTGGTGGTATAAGAAGAAAACATTGCCTTGAAATGAATCTGGCTTATGAATAACATTCAGTTGAAGTTACCTTTTAATTTTGTGATCCTCAGTGCATATCTTCATTTGGCAAGAGCATGTTATGATTCATAGTGAGTTATGGCCATAAAAAGATGTACAATGAGTAATAAATATTCAACCGGGTTCTGGGAGGGAAACCAACCGCCTCAGCTGGTTAGGGTGAGGGAAGACCAGAGAGTGAGAGAGAAAATGGGTCGTGAGAAACAGTATTTAATATGAATATTTGTGCAGATCATGGGTTTACAGTTTGCTTGTTGATCGATGCACATTATCAGTGACAAATAAACTAAAGGTGAATATATGTGTGTATTTATCTACTTGTGTCTGTGCATGTGTGTCAGTCTCTGAACCAGGTGGTGCTGTGGGATAAGATTGTTCTTCGAGGCGAAAACACCAAACTGAACCTCAGAGACATGAAGTCCAAATACTTCTTCTTTGATGACGGGAACGGACTCAGGTTTGAAAGACATTCACACGGTTGTGTTTCCATGATGTCAGAAGGCATTACACTGACTTCCCATTCATTACCTCAACCCTACAGTTAGGCTCACATCATCTGGTTCTTTCTGCATTTGAGTTTGTTGGTAGGGGGCGGGGCTTATAAATTAGCCACCTTGAGAAAATAGGGCAGTTTTGGCTCCAGTGGTAGAGTGAGTTGTCCACTAATCATAAGGTCAGTAGTTTGATGCCTGGCCCTTTGCATTCTGAACAAATAGAAAAAACATCTCACCTAGAAAGCCATTTTAAAGGTTCATTATCTCCAGAAATATAAAGCTCCCATTGCCACTATCTGCCTGAAATATCCAGCAATTTAGTATTGCCATTTTTCAAAGATAACCAAAGCATCAGATATCACACACCTTAGTTTTAGCCTCCCCACTCTTACAAGGTCTTACATTTCCCATTACCCTACTCATTCCCACCTTTAACGAGAGCTTCCTACCCACATTCTTCCCACGTAACGCCTGTGAATACCATTCTAGTATACGTGGGGCTAATTTGTGTGGTCTGCACATTTCCCCTGTGTTATGGAATGTGATTGGCTGACTGTCCTATCTGTCGTGTCTGCAGGGCCAATAAGAACATCACTCTCACGCTGTCCTGGAATGTTGTTCCCAACGCTGGAATCCTGCCCCTGGTTGCTGGAAGTGGACACATCAGCCTCCCTTTTCCAGAAGCATACGAGACCACCAAGAGCTACTAGACCAAGACACACGTCCAGCTTGCTTCGATGTGCCCTACGCTCAGACCGATGAAACAAGATTAGCAGAAACATACACTGGTGTTGTAAATGAGTTTTTGGTTTATAATAAAAGTTGAGACTGTTGAAGTCGAAAGTTGAGATCGCTGTCCTAATGATTTTTAAATCACGATAGCAATTCAAGTGTTGACAGATAAACAGTTCACCCACGTGCAGGCACAAATATATGTCGACTGTTTGGAAAAAGCCGCTTTTAGACCTTTCATAGGTCCACACTTCCATGTCTGTTGTTTTTGTTAGCAACATCTGAGTGAGTAGACTCATGGTGTATGTCAGAATATTGTGTTTGTGTTTAATTAGCAGAATGGTTAAGAAAAAATATTCAGGCCTGATATCTTCTGAGTGACGCAGCACGGTCACTGCTGGAGACTGTGAGGTGGTCGAACTGCAGCTAAATAAGACGTGAATACAGCCAGGGCCCACGGAGCAACCCAGACCTCAACATAGAGTACTTTTTAGAGTAAATCTAATGTTTCAGTTTTGTAAATTATACACGCAGGAACAGAAACTATTCACATTTAATTCAGTTCTCACATTGTGCAATATTGTCTAAGGTAAACATAAAAATAACATATATACACACACATGGAATCCTCAGTTCAGGAACAGAATAGCACAGCGTTCATCACCAACAGCTACTTTGTTCAAGTTCAGTGAACAAAGGTAGTTCCATTGTTCTTCTTTCCATATTTTTGACTCCATTTGCACATTGTATCAGAAGACGTTGTGATTTTAGGACCGAAGGACTTCCAGATTGGTGAAGTTTAATGCTTTTGTTGGCCGCCTCCAGGTTTGGTGCTTGTCATGTTTCTGAGAACAACCGAGGGTGAACGTATGGAAAAACACATCTGACAAGGCATATTGTCCTCTGTCACAGTGCGCTGCAACAATGTGTTTGTCAGTCCAGGCGCTGGATGAGCTTCTCCTCCATCATACAGTAGAGGGCGACATGGGACAGGTCAGAGATGAAGGCGTCACATGCTCGCCTGCTGACGCCCGTACAGCCTCTGAGGTCCAGCAGAGTCAGTGAGGACAGACGCTTCAGGTAGGACAGACAGCCATCTGTCAGCTCATTGCAACCTAGACAGACAGATGGACGTAATTAAAGCATTTTAGTTTTTTCATGTAATTAATACAATCAGGAGTTGGATCAAATGGCTCATGAAAAATAAGGTGGTCCAAAGACAGCAGGATACAGTTGTTAAAGTACCAGAAATCTTTTGTTGCCAAGTAAATGATCAGACTCCGTATCAGCAAATACTCAGTAATCTGTCAATATCAGTCAATAATGGTCAATAATTTAATAACCTTATCAGGTTGTAGTCAAAGCTGTACTCCTTTGTAAGAAAGGGTGAGTAAGTCATCAAATGAACATGCTACCAAAGCACAAGCTAGATTATAAACGGTGTGGCTGTGCTCACCTGCCAGTGTGAGCTCCGTGAGGTTGTTGCGGGTGTGAGTCCCGGCTGCTGCCAGCAGAGCGATGGAGGAGTCCGTTATCTCCTTGCAGTGAGCCAGGTCCAGCCTCTCCAGCTGGGGCATATGACGCTGCAGAAGCCTCAGAGTGGACTCGCTGACATCCAGACCAGACAGGCGCAGCGTCACCATGTTCCTCAGCCTGCTACGCGATGACTCCAAACCTATGGAGACCGAGGCAATGGTCACTTGAATTGGAAAAGCCAGTTTTGGAGATTATGGGCTGTGTTTTGGTAAAACTGCAGCACAGTGCAGATTGCCACTGTTGCCAGTTTATGGAGTTTTATTAACACCTAATCTTAGAGACACGGATGAAGAGATGTACTTTCTACATAGACCAAAATCTTCTAGATATTTTTTAAAGTTTAATTTAGTGAAATTTAATTATTGTGTTATTTGGCTTTTAAAACAACAACAAACAAGATATTTATCCCCCAAAAAAGAGACTTCCAAGTGAAAATGGATTTCAACAAATTAATGTCAATTAACTAAAAACATAAAATCAGTGATGACAAATATTCACCTCTTTGAATTCAGAATTTAGACGATGCACCTTTGGAATTACAGCGCTGAGCTGGTATGGAGAGGTCTGAATCAGCCTGCACATCTGGATACTACGTCTCATTCTTCTTTGTGAAAGTGCTCAAGCTTGGATTGAGGTCTGGGCTCTGACTCAGTCACTTCCAAACATTCCCTTAGTTGTCTTTAAATTATTTCTGTGTATCTTTTGGATAACTGTCTTGCTGAAAAAACAAATCTCTTAAGTCACAGTTCCTTTGCACACTAAGCGTCTTTCAGTTGACTCCACATCGTCTGGTGAACTTTGGTTGACATTTAATATTAACTTTTTTTCCCCTAATAGTAGTTTTCTCTTTTCCACTCTTCCATAAAGCTGTGGCTGGTGAAGGACAGGCAACAGTTATGCAGAGTCACTCCTGTATCAGCCGATGAAGGATGAGGATGCCCTGCTCTAGGCAGGTTGATAAATCTGCCATGTTCCTTGTGCTTTTCAATATATACTGAAAAATGTTCACATGTATGGCAAAAAGTAATTTATCATGACTAGACCCTCCAGAGACAGGTGTCTTTATACTTTAAGACACATTAAATGCACTCAGATGATCTCCATTTCACTAATAGTGTGACTTCTATCACTAATTGGCTGCACATGTGCTAAACTTAAAAAGGGGTGAATACTTAAAAGCAATCTCTTATTTTACATTTTAGTTTTAATTTTAACATGGAGGCCTAATATTTTGTACAGTCTTGTCCAAAAAGCCAAATAAAATCGACCATAATTCCATGTTGAAAAGCAATATAAAGTAGTAAACCTAAAAGTAGGGTAAACACTTGTTATGCACAGTATGACAGAATGTAAGCCGAAGCACACTTTTCTGCTGCTACTGACCAGGTGGGGTGGTGATCTCTTTAATCTGGGCATCTTGCAGGCCTTCACACCAGCGCAGGTCCAGCAGCCTCAGGTGGGGCAGAGTGGGAGACACCAGCGCTGACAGACAGGACCAGGAGAGACCGGTCACCCTCAACTCCCTCAGACCTAAACACACGAGAAACATTGAGAGAGACAACATAGCAGGACATGTAGGGACAACGGGGTTTGTGTGCCTTAGTGTGTTTGTACCGGGGAGCCTGGTGAGCAGACAGTTGAGCTGTCGTTTGGCCAGGGGTGTCCAGGACAGATCCAGAGAGGTGGGCTGGCGTTTAATGATGCCTGCCAGGGCCTGGTTACTGAGCGGGCTGCACCGACTCACATCCACATGGCTCCACAGACGTTTGTCACAGCTCCTACACAGGACAAGTTGACAGACTGTGTCAGAGCTCTGCATCTTATCCAGCAGCAAAGAACGCGATCAGCTCATAGACTTGTGTACCCATGTGTGTTTTGTTTGCAGAGCAGAAGTGTGTAACATACCACTTGTACCAGGCCTTACAGACGGTCATGCACGCCAGCAGCTCAGCTCTGTTCAAGTATTTGAACACAGACACCCACACTTCCTTCTCCCCTACTCTTTCATTCCCTGCATCTTTAAAGGATGGCAGAGACAGCAAGGATGGAGGAGACAGGGAGGAAAATGCAGGAGGAGCAGCGGCCTCCTGTTCATCTGAAGAAGATGCAGAACGAGTCCTGGTGCTTCTGTCACCACCACTACCGCGCAGACGAGGCCTAAGAGAACACCAACCAACACAGTATCACAATTAGTTTGATGATCTGAAACATCTAAGTGTGACACTTATGCAAAAATAGAAGATATCTGCAGGGGAGCCAATACTTATATACCACAGCACCATAAGTGTGTAAAGGGCTTTGTGATGTTTTAAGGTTTTACATTTAAAAGACGGCCATGTTTAGTGTACGTAACCCATGGTGTCTTAAATTGGACTAGGTCGTCTATTAAATAATCAAATAGCAGTTTCTATCAAGAGTGGCAACATGAATGTACAACAGTCAGCCACAAGAAGAAAAAAAACACCTGCATAATCTTGCATAGGTCCCTCTTGTGCCACCAAAACAGTTTTGACCCACTGAGGCCTGGACTCCACGGACCTTTGAAGGTGTCCTGTGGTATCAGGCACCAAGACGTTCAAAGCAGATCCTGGAAACTGCAAGGCAGGACCTCAGTGGATTGTACTTGTTTTTGTACTTGTACCCACTGCCATCAGGGAATACCGCTGCCAGGAAGGGGTGTACACGGTCTGGTATATTGTTTAGGTAGGTGCTACATGTTAAAGTAACATTCCCATGGATGCAGGACCCAAGGCACCCATAAGCATCAAGCTGTGATGCACTGAATGTTCAGATATCCTTCTGCTATAGTCAGCATTAAGGTTTTCAGCAGTTTGTGCTACAGTAGGTCTTCACACAGCTAGCCTTCGCTCCACTTGGTGGCCAGTGTGCCTTGGGCACCCATGACCCTGTTGCAAGTTTAACAGTTGTCCCTTCTTGGTCCAGTGTTGACAGGTGCTAACCACTGCATCCCAAGAATACCCCAGAAGACCTACAGGTTTGTACAAGCTGTCACCCAGTTGCTTAAACATCATAATTTGGTTATTGTCTAAGTTCTTTACACTGCCAATTTTCCTGCTTCCAACACATCAAATTCAAGGACTGCCTGTTTTCCTGGTGCGTAAGACATCCCACAGCTTAACAAATGTCATTTTAACGAGATAATCTCTGATATTCATTTCACCTGTCTGTGGTTTTATTTGTTGTGTAGGACCTGTGTATACATTTAAATGAACCATGAGGTGAGCTCTACCTGCCAGGTCCTCTTGGGGTTACGCTGTCAGCTATGAAGTCGGTGCCCTTGAGTCGTGAAGGTTTTGACAGCGCAGTCTTCCTCTGGATGAAGCCCTGTTGACCGCTACTACCCACTGCAGCTGTTCTTGGACCCATGGCTGCTTCTAGCTTTGGAACTATGGAACCTGGGAAGTAAAACACGCCTGTTATATTTACTTCACAGTTCAGTTACGGATTGCATGTAGACTAGAGAGACCAGATTTAATTTGTTTACACACAAATGTTGGGTTTGAACTCTTACCAGATTGTCTCTTGGCTTTGTGGGGGTGCTGCAGAGTGACAGTCAGGTAGGAGCCACTCAGCAGGTCATCATTTAGATCAGACACCAGGAGGACTGGCGGTTCAGGATCTGAATCCCACCGCCCATCCTCCTCCACCTCCTCCTCTTCCTCTTCCTCCTCTTCATCCTCCAGCATGTCCATCTCCTCCTCCTCAGGTTCAAACTCCTGCCCTTCGCTGTCTTCATCTTCATCCTCATCGTCAGTCCTGTGCCTCCTCCTGCGTCGATGAAGATGTCGTTCTTTGTCTCCATCTTCACTGTCGTCCTCTTCTTCATCATCGTCATCGTCGTCGTCGTCATCATCGTCGTCGTCATCGTCTTCGGAATCCTCAGAGTCATCTCCTCTACGCTGCATCCTGGAGCCTCCTCGCAGCCTCACTCCTCGCCCCCTCCGTCCCCCCTCCCTCATGCCCATCCCTCGCTTTAACTTAAGCATAGAGGAGGAGCCAGGAGTCACCAGCACTCCTCTGCTTCCTCTGTGGGCCGGGCCTCCTCTCAGCAAGCCTCTTCTGTTGGCACTAAATGCCCTCCTGGAGGAGTGGCTCCCCCCACGGGCATGCAAAGACATCTTTCTTTTGTGAGATGCTGCAAAGACGGAGGTGTTGACAGATGATCAGAGGGCTGACAGCTCATATCGCACTACAGACTGTGACAGTAAAAAGTTTAAGGTGCCTTATTACGATGATATAGTATGTCCAAATTGTATGCTTACTGCTTAAGACTGTATATACTTTGTGAGGGCAGCTGGAGTACAAATTAAAGAGAAAAAAAGTGTGCTATTTGGAACGTAGCCAGAATGTATTCCCTCAGCTGAGAATCTCCATCACGCAGAAATAATATCGTCAGGACAAGCATTGGTAAAACGGTGGTGCTTCACAGACAATCTCCTCTGAAGCTGGTTTGTTGTGTAGCATTAGTTACCATGGTGACCTTGCAAGTTTAAAGAGAGCCACCGTTGTGACACTGAAACTCTGGCTTTAGGCTCAACATAGGCACAAGCACAATAAAGATATGTAACATTGAAATCAAGTAGTATTTTTCCCCCCTTTTTTTAATGTATAAAGAGTTTTTTAAAGGAATATAAAAAAGGGTTCGAGTACATTGTTTAGCAGACAAACCTTCATCATCATCATCGCTGGCAGAGTCATCTCCATCGCGGCTGTGTCGCTGTCGTCTGTAAATCTTAGCCATACGAGCGTCCAGCAGAGAAGAAGCTTTCCTTTTCTGGACACGAGAAGGAAGGAAGGGTAGGAAGAATTATTGTTTTTTGTAAAAGACATTAACTAGAAGTGCATTCAGAATTAAACTCAACATCTTAACACTCACCATTGGAAGGCCATCACCTCTGTCACCTTTAGACTGTAAAGGAAAGAGTAAAAATGTCACTACCACAAATAACGGACAGATAAATCTTAAAAGCCTACGTTCGCTCTTTTGAGATTTGGCTGACAGACTTGGCTTTGCACAAATAAACGTCTTGCATCACTTCCAGTTCTACAACCAACTTAAAAGAAAAGCATCTGAATGCACATCACAGAGCAGTAATAAAGATCCCACTGTAAGCCTTGAAAACAATCAACGTATACGGTTGCATAAAAAAAAAACATTAGATATAGTTAACGAGCCACAAAACACGGTGAAGGGAGAGAACTCAAGTAAGCTGTACTGTCATTAAATATTGCCCCAAACTATCACACTACGCCACCACACTTTTCATTATGGACCAGACAAACAAAGAAAGAAAACAACTGAATCTTACACTGTGAGTACGAGTTAGTTACTAAGACTAGACTTTTCTGAATTACAATTCCACTGTAAGAGGCCATCTCCCTGGCATCGGAATCTGACCGTCATCATCATAACTGACATATTTAAACACTTTTGCTTCACATAAACAAAAGGGACGTTGAAACACAAGCATTGCATTTAAGTGAGCACTTCAGACAAGTTGTAGAGCTTGAATAATAAATGGAAATGCGATCACACAACACAATGAACAACATACTCCTGTCATTTCTCATAACTGTCAGTTATATCTCAGGACAGTCCCTGTTCCATTTCCTCTATTTTGCATTGGAAGGCAACAGTCCAACATTAGCTCTCTGAGGAGGAGTACACTCACAACACATACACTTGTAGAGACTGTGTCCAATCCTGGTCCTCGAGGGCCACA